GGTATCACATTGTAAACTTGGAATTCCTGCCCCATCCCCAGGGGTTAGAGCGGGGCCCCCAAAGGGAACATTTACAAATATTTTAAAATTCTTATCCTTTGATGACATGACAAGTATTGTATTTCACTTAGTTTACATGCTGATTTCCACATCACATCTAAACAATAAAATAAAGCTACCAGTATCTATGATATAACTCAGGTGACCGCTAAGGCCCTTGGGCCTCTTGTTTATGTAAGGTTGTGTACAGTATCACGGTTTGTTCCCTGTAGAGGGAATTTGACAGTATTTTTAGCTTATGCCTAATGGTCAAAAGGGGAACAAATTTTGTATAAATGGTGGGTCTGGCCCCCCCGGGGCTCATTAGGGGAAATATAGCAAATTCTTTAATATCCTTCTTCTTCGGTAGAAATGAAAGTATTTGTTCCATATTTGGTCTGAAGCATCCTTGGGTGAATGGGAACCAATTTTGTATAACCCGTGAATCTGGCTGGCCCCCCAGGGGCCTGAGGGAAGGGGCCCAATAGGGGAAACAGCAAATTCTTCAAATACCTTCTTCTGTACGAATGACAGGATTTTGTCCAAATTTGGTATGAAGCATCATTGGGTGAAGGGGAACCAATTTTGTATAACCCGTGAATCTGGCTGGCCCCCCCAGGGGCCTGAGGGAAGGGGCCCAATAGGGGAAACAGCAAATTCTTCAAATACCTTCTTCTGTACGAATGACAGGATGGGTGAAGGGGAATCAATTTTGTATAAACGGTGTGTCTACCCCCCCCCTTGGAGGCAGAGAGGCGGGGCCCAATAGGGGAAATAGAGGTAATACCTTTAAAATCCTTCTTCTACAATAGGGATTAAGGGATTTTATCCTAATTTAGTCTGGAGCATCCTTGGGCCAAGGGGACTCAATTTTGTATAAGCAGTGTGTGTGGTCTCCCAGGGGGTAGAAGGGCGGGGCCCAACGGGAGAAATAGAGGGAAAACCTTTAAAATCCTTCTTCGACCATCGGAATTAAAGGATTTTATCCTTATTTAGTCTGGAGCATCCTTGGACCAAGGGGTCTCAATTTTGTATAATTTGTGGGTGTGGCCCCCCTGGGGGCTTAAGGGCGGGGCTCTGTTTGAAGTTTGTTCTCACTATATCTCCAGTACTGGATGGATCTTTCTGAAATTTTATATGTACTTACAGCACCTACCATGGAGTGCTATATCTTTACTTCATACCAATTATTTTAAACATATTCAGGTGAGTGATACAGGCCCTCTGGGCCTCTTGTTTATGTAAGGTTGTGTACAGTATTAGGGTTTGTTCCCTCCTGTAGAGTGAATTTGATGGTTTGTTTACTCATGTTTTACAGACAAGTAGTGATGCAGTTTAACAAACAGCTGGCTACAAGAGTAAAGAAAAACAAGCGACTGCACTGGCTAGACTTTGTGGAAGATCTTCTGGTGGATGGTGGACTGCGGCCAGAGTATGGTGAGTAATTTGTCCAAGGTTACAATATTTCATAACACCATAGCCCTGATACTGTGTCTAAAAACCAGTCGTAGTTTACCAGCTTACTTGGCATTAAGTGTTTGTGAAATGACATGGTATGGAATCATTCCTCCAGGACAGCTTTTCCTTTTAAAACACCACTAGTTCAGAAGGGCAGAAAGAGTTTTGTCTAAGTTTGGTTTGAAGCATCCCTGACCCAGAGCGATTTAATTTTGTGCAAGTTCTACAATAAATATTGTTTGCCTAAACCTGGCAAACCCAGAAAAGAAAAACTCTTTTCATTTTAACTTATTGATTTGAATGATGACTTTCATTTTATTATTTTAAGTTTAGTCAGTCAACCATTCTGTTGAGTATCTGCTTCAACAAAAACGTTGCAGTATCATGTGTGTGTTAAGGATATGGCCTGCATAACAGCAAGTCCCGTACAGGAAAACAACAGTCATCTAATTTGTCTCTCCTCAGCTACATTGGGGACAGAGGGACCAGTGCCCACTTGTGTAAAACATCTCAAAGTTAAGGAAAATCTCAAGCAATGTATTGTCTATTGGAAATCTTAGACTTGAGGAAATCTCAAGCATTGAGATGTTTTATACAAGTGGGCCCAGACCTTTATAGGCGAAATGGGGGCATTTTTTTTCTGTAGACCAAACTGAATACCAGATTGGCTATCCCCGTCTTTGACTGGCCAATACAGGGTCCACTTATGAATTTTCATCAGCCAATGTTAACCAAACTATATACAAATGGTCCTCTCTAACCAAACTATATACAAATGGTCCTCTTATGGTTCTTACCAAACTATATACAAATGGTCCTCTCTAACCAAACTATATACAAATGGTCCTCTTAAGGTTCTAACCAAACTATTTTTCTAGCCAATTTGAAATCTTACCTCAATTTTAAAGCAGCAGAATACAAAATACAATTTACTGCGCCGAACATCTTGTGATCCTAACGAACACTTGGGCCTCCTGTTGTCTTTAATGTGGAATTATATTTAATACTTGCAAAATATTGATACCCTCAGTCAGTCATGAAAGATCTGCTGAAATTGACTTTATGATTCTTTTTATCAAAATAGTACTTTACAATCTCTGAGGGAACAATTGTTTAAAAAGAAAGCATCAGAGGTTTCCTTAATGTATACTGTTTTTGTACTTACAGAGTTTGATGGCACACATTGCCATCCAGCCTATATATCACTACTAGAAAAAGCACTTGCTGAGAACGTGTCGGAAGCAGCTCAGAGCTGATACAGAGAAGTTGTCAGAGGCATCGCAGAAGTTAAATAGACCGATAGCCTGGAAACATGTCGGAGGCATCACAGAGACTTTCTAGGCAGTGTGTAAACTAACTTATCTTACTAAGATATCTTTGACAGATTGTTATACATGAATTTGTATGTTACCAAAAAAAAGTAATATAGAATAAATATGCCGTCCAAACAAAACCTGTCTTGGATTTACACTGTTAATGAAACTGACAATGCCATGTATGAAAATAAGTTTTAAATTTCATTATTATTAATAATTAAAGCTGTTAAAATGCAAAATGTTTTGACTTCCTGGGTTTTTCAAACTAAAGAAAGAACTGTACCTGTATCCTCTTGAAATCAAGAAGATAAATTTATCCATTCCTGGATACTTATTGGACATTGGTTCTTTTCCCTGCATTATTTTCGTACCTGTATAGATAAATCCACTGTACAGTTAAACCTCGTTTCTATAGGTTCAAAGACAAGGTTTTACTGTTTCTATAGGTTCAAAGACAAGGTTTTACTGTTTCTATAGGTTCAAAGACAAGGTTTTACTGTTTCTTTAGGTTCAAAGACTATCTATGTATGAAATAACAGACAAAAACTGTGGCTGGTATTTTTTAATGAGTGTATAAAAAAATATTTGAAATGTGTATTGCCAATTATAACAGAACAGAAAACAGTATGTTTTTATTCCAGTGTTATGTTTTAACAGTAACATCCTGTCACTGTATAAATGACTGGGCCTGACCATGCAGTGTCACCCGAGCTGGGTGGCGCTAGGTTAACGACACCAGAATCTGTATTCACTAGAATGATCCTGTTCCTTGTACTGTTTCTCCGTTAGGCTGTACAACCATAGCCCATGTCAGTTTAATGTTGGTCAATACAGCATCAGACCGCTGTCCTAGCTCTGCACAGGATCTAGGGGCTACAAGTTCAGACATTTAGTCATTTAGTCATCGAGTCAAGCTCGACAAATCCTCAGATTCACAGATCCAATTTTGACATTTCGAATGGACAACTGACTATCCAGCCCAAGTGTCCAATACTATCTGGGGAGAGCCAAGAATGCCTCACTTCTTCTTAACACAAATGTTCTTCTGTGATGGAAGGCTTTGACTCCTAACAACGAAGTGTTTAATTCCCCAGTCATACAAAAGGCTGCTTCTCCAGGTCACCAATTCGTTTATTCCAGGTGTACTGACTAAAAATTCACGGTGTAACAATCCTGTACTTTGCACCTTTGCTATTCCTTCAATTATGCAATGAGTTATCGACAGAAAATCAGTTATTGCTCTGTCGCTGGCGAATCCAGAAGCGTCGGACATCGTCGTGGCCTGACCGAGATACCACCATGACACGTTTGGATGGGTTTTCCCACGTCAGTACATCAAGATCCTGTCACACACATAAGATTAAGTTATAATTTACATAGGATGAATACAAAGATTTCTTCTGGACAAAACATGATCTATTTTATTGAGAAATTAGGATCCATATTACTGAAAGATTAAGATGTCAAAAAGGGATGAAAACAAAAAGGGATGAAAACAGAGTTCTATCTTAGTGAGGGGTTACATTACATGGGACCAGTACAGAAAGCAAATTTACCGTGAATAATAGAATCTCACCTTCTTGGGGGCGAGATGCAGAGTTCTCTTACCCTGGACAGGTTTATCTGCACTTTTACCAGTGTGAGATTTCTTTGTCTCACCCTAGGGTTGAGACGAGGGGGATTCCCCTATTCATAACAATGGTATGACGTCACTTCAACAATACAATGACGTCACGTCAACAATCCATCAACGACACGTCAACCCTGAATTTAGCATGTAACGTTGTCATTACACTGTGTATATGCATTGGAAGAACAGGTTAAGAGAAAAAGAATCATTCACCCCCTTGTGAGTAAGATAGAGGAATATAAATCCTCAGGAAATATTCTTAAGTTGCCAAACACTCGGCAAAGCCTTGTGTTTGGCAACTTAAGAATCTCCCCCTTCAGGTTGAGATTCCCCTATCTCACCCCCAAAGGGACAAGAGATTCTATTATTCTCAACCCAAGTGGAAAATTCTAAAGTTGCCAAACACAACCCTTGCCGAAAGTTTGGCGACTTCAATCTTTCTCCGAGGGTTGAGATACCTATCTCATCCGTAAGTGGGAGAATGATTATTTTTCTTTTACCCTGCTGACACTGTTGTATTATATAACTGAAGTGTTAATGTTACAGGCAAATACATTGTTGAGTCCCACAATTGTTATGACTTGGGAATCCTCTCATCTCAATCCAAGGTTAAGCCAAGGATATCCCACAACAGGAAAAGGGGGGGGGGGTTTCACCTGTCAAGGGTTTTAAAGATTTTTTTTATGTCACCTACCTTTGCATAATCTCTGAGAAGTTCAAAGTCACTCTGAGAATTGAACTGACTGTACAGTACACCATCTGTAAACTTGAACCTGTCTCGTTCCATCTCCCACAGACGAATCTGATCTGTGATGGTTGGAGGCAGCACTGGCTTCTATAAAAGATCAATGTAGTTACAGTCATCATACACCCAGTTTTGATGGGATGTATATGGTATTAGGAACACCCCTCTCACCATCTGCACTTTGGGTTTCCTCAGATAAATTGCTTGAATCTCATCAAGTTTTGATGAAACTTAGTAAAGCTGAAAGTCTTTACAATAAACAAGGACTAAAGCCAAATGTGAAAATGAGTGAAATCTGTGAACATGTCCTCTGATTAGTTGATTGTTTCTGCACAGTATAAATGGTAACTTAAACATGTTTATATAATACAAAACCAAAGTTAATAGTGGAAGTCAAACAAAATCTGTACATAATTAATTTGAAAACTGCACTCTGATTGGTTGATAGTTTCCACACAATAACTTCATCCAAGATGACCAGACTTTGATGAAACTTCGTTGATATTTGTATTACAACAAGACAAAGACCAAATTGGAAGATATACAAACTCGGAGCAGTGTTGTAGTAAATACCTGTTTCAGCATCTTTGGGTGTGCATGGCTCCTTAGGAAACTGATGATCTGTAATTAGAGGTATACAACTATAGTAGTGTACAACAGTAATTAGTGGTATATAATAGTTCTGAGTGGTATACAACAGTAATTAGTGGTATATAACAGTAATTCGTGGTATACAATGGTCGTGAGTGGTATACAACAGTAATTCGTGGTATACAATGCTCATGAGTGGTATATAACAGTAATTTGTGGTATACAATGGTCATGAGTGGTATACAACAGTAATAAGTGGTATACAATAGTTCTGAGAGGTATACAACAGTATTAAGTGGTATACAACAGTTAGTAGTAGTACACAACAGTAATTAGTGGTATACAATACTTATGAGTGGTAAACAACAGTAATTAGTAATATATAACAGTATTTAGTGGTACACAACAGTAATTAGTGGTATACAATAATTGTGAGTGGTATACAATAGTAATTAGTAATATATAACAGTTATTAGTGGTACACAACAGTAATTAGTGGTATACAATAATTGTGAATGGTATACAATAGTAATTAGTAATATATAACAGTTATTAGTGGTACACAACAGTAATTAGTGGTATAAAATAGTAATGAATAGTACACAACGGTAATTAGTGGTATACAACAGTAATTAGTAGTTTATAACAGTAATTAGTGGTACACAACAGTAAATAGTGGTATACAATAGTTCTGAGTTGTATACAACATTAATTAGTGGTATAAAATAGTTCTGAGTGGTATAAAACAGTAATGAGTTGTATAAAATAGTAATGAGTGGTACACAACAGTAATTAGTGGTACACAACAGTAATTAGTGGTTTACAATAATTGTGAGTGATATGCAACAGTAATAAGTATATAACAGTAATTAGTGGTATAAAATAGTAATGAGTTGTACACAACAGTAATTAGTGGTATACAACAGTAATTAGTAGTTTATAACAGTAATTAGTGGTACACAACAGTAATTAGTGGTATACAATAGTTCTGAGTGGTATACAACATTAATTAGTGGTATAAAATAGTTCTGAGTGGTATAAAACAGTAATTAGTTGTATAAAATAGTAATGAGTGGTACACAACAGTAATTAGTGGTACACAATAGTAATTAGTGGTACACAACAGTAATTAGTGGTTTACAATAATTGTGAGTGATATGCAACAGTAATTAGTATATAACAGTAATTAGTGGTATAAAATAGTAATGAGTGGTACACAACAGTTATTAGTGGTATACAACAGTAATTAATGGTATAAAACAAAAATTAGTGGTATACAATAGTAATTATTGGTATACAACAGTAATTAGTGGTATAAAATAGTTCTGAGTGGTATAAAACAGTAATTAGTGGTATAAAATAGTAATGAGTGGTACACAACAGTAATGAGTGGTACACAACAGTAATTCGTGGTACACAACAGTAATTAGTGGTACACAACAGTAATTAGTGGTATTAAACAGTAATCAGTGGTATACAACATAAACCATTATACATCATTCTGAGGTCTTTTCCTACAATTTCCTTTTTTTTTTCACAAACAGTGGAGGAAGCCAAAGCAGCACATTAACATTACTTAATGTTTTATATATAGTTATAATGCATAATAACTGTTCCAAATTTTTATAGACATATCTGCCTCTTTCCCACTCTCTCTAATAATACCTGCACCACTGTGATGCCAAGAATATATGCCTCTCTCTCACTCTCTCAGGACATACCTGCTCTGCTGTGATGCCACAGTCTATTGACTCTCTCGCACTCTCACTAGACATACCTGCTCTGCTGTGATGCCAAGAACATATGCCTATCTCACACTCGCTCTAGACATACCTGCTCTGCTGTGATGCCATGGTCTATTGACTCTCTCCCACTCTCTCTAGACATACCTGCTCGGCTGTGATGCCACATACTAGTGCCTCCCTGACACCCTCTCTAAACATACATGCTCGGCTGTGATGCCACGGACTAGTTCCTCCCTGACACCCTCTCTAGACATACCTGCTCGGCTGGGATGCCACAGACTAGTGCCTCCCTGACCCTCTCTCTAGACATACCTGTTCGGCTGTGATGCCACAGACTAGTGCCCCCCTGACACTCTCACTAGACATACCTGCTCGGCTGTGATGCCACAGTCTAGTGCCTCCCTGACACTCTCTAGACATACCTGCTCGGCTGGGATGCCACAGACTAGTGCCTCCCTGACCCTCTCTCTAGACATACCTGCTCGGCGGTGATGCCACAGACTAGTGCCTCCCTGACCCTCTCTCTAGACATACCTGTTCGGCTGTGATGCCACAGACTAGTGCCCCCCTGACACTCTCACTAGACATACCTGCTCGGCTGTGATGCCACAGACTAGGGCCTCCCTGACACTCTCTCTAGACATAGCTGCTCGGCTGTGATGCCACAGACTAGAGCCTCCCTGACCCTCTCTCTATACATCCCTGCTCGGCTGTGATGCCACAGACTAGTGCCCCCCTGACACTCTCACTAGACATACCTGCTCGGCTGTGATGCCACATACTAGTGCCTCCCCGACCCCCTCTCTAGACATACCTGCTCGGCTGTGGTGCCACATACTAGTGCCTCCCTGACACCCTCTCTAAACATACATGCTCGGCTGTGATGCCACGGACTAGTGGCTCCCTGACACTCTCTCTAGACATACGTGCTCGGCTGTGATGCCACATACTAGTGCCTCCCTGACACTATCTCTAGACATACCTGCTCGGCTGTGGTGCCACATACTAGTGCCTCCCTGACACTATCTCTAGACATACCTGCTCGGCTGTGATGCCACGGTCTAGTGCCTCCCTGACACTCTCTCTTTACATACCTGCTCGGCTGTGATGCCACATACTAGTGACTCCCTGACACTCTCTCTAGACATACGTGCTCGGCTGTGATGCCACATACTAGTGCCTCCCTCACACTCTCTCTAGACATACCTGCTCTGCTGTGATGCCAAGAACATATGCCTTGCTCACACTCGCTCTCGACATCCCTGCTCTGCTGTGATGCCATGGTCTATTGACTCTCTCCCTCTCTCTCTAGACATACCTGCTCGGCTTTGATGCCACAGACTAGTGCCTCCCTGACACTGTCTCTATACATACCTGCTCGGCTGTGATGCCACATACTAGTGCCTCCCCGACACCCTCTCTAGACATACCTGCTCGGCTTTGATGCCACAGACTAGTGCCTCCCTGACGCTCTCTCTATACATACCTGCTCGGCTGTGATGCCACAGTCTAGTGCCTCCCTGACACTCTCTAGACATACCTGCTCGGCTGGGATGCCACGGACTAGTGCCTCCCTGACACTCTCTCTGGATAAGTTACCCACTGCCATGTTTGGAAACCTAAACAAAATCATCAAAATTGAAGGAAAATTCATGTAATTTAAATTTTCTCAACGGGTCGTATTATTGCATAACATTCCATCCATCCGTCTCTAACTTGTTGGTGTCTGCTCAATATTTTGAGTAATTATATGAACCTATTAACTTGAGAGTTGGTAAGAAAGTGAAATGCTATAAAATCTGAACTAAGTTTGATACCTCTTTTTACTCGGTCATTTCTAGCCCCTAACTCAGCTCCCTAGGGGGTCAGGCTCGTACAAAGATCTCACAAGTGAGCTTATGTCATACCGCAGTATCCGGCGTCCGGCGTCAACTTTTCCCTTTAAAAGCCTTTATCTCCTGAACGACTGATTGGATTTTAACTAAATTTGATATGAAGCATCCTTGGGACCAGGGGCTCAATAGATTTATGAAATAAGGGTGTGGCCCCCTAGGGGGCTGAGTAAGGGGCCAAAAAGGGGAAAATTTAGAAAAGAATAAAAAATCTTCTTCTCCATTTCCAGAAATGCTAAAACCAAATACTACTCATAGTTGTAAAGGCCTTTGGATGGTTTATAAAAATTGTGATTTTCATGTCTCCTAGCCCCCACGTTTGTTCCTGGGGAGGGGGTGAAGTTTAGTATAGTTTATATAGGAAATAAACATAATAGGCCATATCTACCATTGTTTTGAACGGAAGTTGTTCATATTTGACAGAAATACTTGTTAGGGGGAGGGGGTCTGCAGGTAAAATTTGTACGAGCCTGAACCCCTTGGGGGCTGAGTTAGGGGCCGAAAAAAGGGGGGGGATTTAGGGAAATTTCAAAAATCTTCTTCTCCAGTTCTAGAAATGCTAGAATCAAATACTACTCATAGTTGTAAAGGCCTTTGGATGGTTTATAAAAATTGTGATTTTTATGTCTCTTGGCCCCCACGTTTGTTTCTGGAGAGGGGGTGAAGTTTAGTATCGTTTATATAGGAAATAAACATAATAGGCCATATCTACCATTGTTTTGAACAGAAGTTGTTCATATTTGACAGAAATACTTGTTAGGGAGAGGGGGTCTGCAGGTAAAAAATGTATGAGCCTGACCCCCTAGGGGCTGAAAAGGGAGTGAATTTAGGGAAATTTCAAAAATCTTCTACTCCAGTTCTAGAAATGCTAGAATCAAATACAACCAATAGCTGTAAAAGCATTTGGGAGGTTTATAAAAATTGTGATTTTTATGTCTACCAGGCCATCCGTTTGCCCCTGGTGATGGAGTGAAATTTAGTATAGTTTATATAGGAAATATACATAATAGGCCATATCTTCCAATGTTTTGTATGGAGTTTGCTCATATTTGACAGAAATACTTATTAGGGGAGGAAGGTCTGCTGGTATAATTTTTGTGACCCTGACCCTGTTTTATCAGGTCAGTTTTAAGAGATTTTATATGCAATTTTGTTTTACATTTTTACTAATTATCTGAAGTAATTATTAAACATTCTCAGACTTCAATTTTGCTGTAACAAGATTTAACATATTGCTTAAGAATATCCGTTCAAATGATTCATTTAAAGGACTTTATCAAAATCTTAAAATATATTTGTTTCATATTGTATTTGTTTAAAATGTTATGCAATTGTTATAGCATTTTTAGATTATATAACCCCCCTCCCCTCTCTACCATGCATTAATAAGGAACTGTGCTGAATTTAGCTTGTCTGTCAGTCCATCTATTCACCAGTAGATGTAAAATTTACGCCTCAGGAAGTACTAAAGTGCAAAGGTCAGCTATATAAATATTCAGTACATTCACAAAGCACATTGCATGCATATGAATTAAACAATTTAAGGGTACTATACCCTTTTGCTTTCTTGTGTAAGATTGCACTGTGAAGTAACTAATTTACCTGTATAGCATTTCGCAGAATAAAGCTACCAGGGCAACCTTCAGTGGGGAATCTGTAACATACAAACACAGAATAGAGTTACCAGGGATACCTTCAGTGGGGAATCTGTAACATACAAACACAGAATAGAGTTACCAG